GGATCGCGATTCGAGATATATCGAAGGGAGACATTATCGCGTGGGTGCGCACTTGGCGCACGTCGATGACGAACTGGTCGCGACTGAATCGAAACGCACGGCATACTCTCATATAGGCGACGGAATATAAAATATTGCAGTTGGGCGCGATCGCGATCCGATGGCAGTTGCCCAAGATCTAAAAAGGGCCGACTGTCAAGCTCACGCACGTAAAATGCACGTGAGCTTTTGCGGAAGCGTCCAGCGCGGAGTCATCCTCCGGATCAACCCTATCGCTTTACAAAAGGAGTGTTTAGTGTCCCTTTGCCTCTTCAAAATGATGGATGAGAGAGAAATTAATAGCGTTTTCGATTTGCACAATCCAATCTAAGCGCAAATAACGCTATAATTCAAGATACGTGTAAGGAACATACAAAAAATATCAGAAATATTAGAAAATATTTTCTAAATGTTATTTATAATGTTTTTTGATCTCTTGTATCATCTAAATTAATGAAGAGCAATCTTCACAGTTTCATATTTCAAAAGATTTATACATAATTGTAAAAGTTAAAATATTATTGGATTAAATATGTATGTGTGTATATATATAGATATATCATATATACATACCATATATATATGTATACAGGCGGCCCACGTAAAGTGTTACAAGCCAATAATTCTAAAAATATTTGTCGAATCAAACAGTTGTTCATGAGAAAGTTTTATGTATTCAAGGGCCTTTTTAACTATGTAAACATGAAGTCGCACCCACTCTCCCGGCGGGAAGTAACTTCATAATTTCAAATGGAACCCCCTATAAAATGTTACATATTTGGATTCTATAGAATCCAAGAAAAAACAAGTAAATTTTACCTGAAACATTTGTTTGAAAAATGTTTTTATCAAAAGTTATAAACATTTAAACTTTAAAATAGAGTGCATATATTCAAACTAATGATAAAACTATAAATTAAATGAAAGATCATAGTTCTTTTGTTTGTTTTTTTACTTTATTAAATGTTTGAACTGTTCTCATTTAAACATTTATTATTTCTTTCTACGAAGTTTGCGCTAGCGTCCTCAAATTTTCCGAAAGTTACAGCGTGTACAGACATTTTCCAAAAAATTCAAAATTTTATAACAAATAAACCCTTTCACCGATACTCACCAAATTCAGTAGCAACCATCCTTTAATAATACTTTACCTATGTAAAAAAATTTAACCTGATATCTCAAAATTTGCGAAATGTGTACAGACATTCCTCAAAAAATTAAAAATTTTATAAAAAGTGGACCTTTTCATCGAGTCTTACCAAATTCAATACCAACCATCCTTGAATGATACTCTATCCATTTAAAAAAAATTTAGCTCGATATCTCAAAAATTGCGGAAGTTAGAGGTTGTACAATATATTGCGTACATACACACATACACACATACATATACACATACATACATACATACAAACATTTTTAGGAATATGATTTTTCGACGTTTTGGAACATTCTAAACACATTGGCATAGAAAACTTGAAAAAAAATTTTGTCACGAAAACAAAGCTTCCTCTATGAGGAAGCAAAAA